ACATGGTTTAAATAAACCATCAACACCCTGTAAAATGTTTATTACTATTAGAGAATAGATTCTATATGCGAAAATGTGTGAGTGTACACAAAGTGAGCATATGTAAGTACACAGACATACATTTCAGTACTTGAGATGTGTTGGTGGGTACTATAAATCATACAAGTACAGAAAAGAAATATGTCTTATGGTGATATTTTCAATTTCTTCCATATGTTAAATGCTTTTCAAATGCAGGAGATGATACAGTTTCTGCTTTGGCAAATGTGCAGTTTAATAAGATGCAGATAAATAGTGGTGAGAGGGACATGGCAAATAAGCAGCATGATCAGAGCTATGACAAGCACATACTGCATCTTGCTAGTTGCAAGCATTTTTATAAACACATTTCATGCCTTCCTCCACACTTCAGGCTCCTCGTTCCCACTGCACACCAGCTCCCATCGCAGCTTATGTAATTAATCATGATAAAACCTATTTCAAACAGAAAGAATCCACAGGAAACTCCTGCAGTATACAGAAGAAAATAGCAAAGGATTCTGTGATTTACTCAAAACAAGTATTCCTTATGCACCCTTTCCAGTCCAGTAGGAGCAGGCTATCTGGAGAAAGCCTAAATTCTATGGGAATTCACTCATTTCTGCCATTAAGTGCAGCGAGCTTTCATAACACTTCGTTGACACTTAAGGTGGCAGAAGTGGAGGCTCTGGCCTAAGAAATCTTGGCAAGTTCTGAGTCTGAGCACAAGGTGATCCCCTTCAGAAAGAGTGCCAGCTGTCAAGGAACTGATCTCCTGGGGATTAGGAAGAAATGATGGAGAGACCTTAGCAGAGTCCTAGCCATTGAAGATGGAAAAACTTAAAATCCCCTCTCACATGTACGATTAGTGCAGGAAGGATGACTGCTAATCTCCTCAATTGGCCAGGGCTCTGATTTGTTCAGATGTGTGATTTCCAAGGCAGGAGTGAAAAGGAAGCCTCGGTTTTGCTTGATCAAGAATTAGGGCATTGAGGAAACTGAATTGTTTCCCTTCTGATTAGCTGCATTGCTCTTGGTCTGTTTTGGGACTGTAGTCCCCAGACCAGCCCCAGATAGTATGAGACAAAGCTTCTTACACAACTGTATTTGAAACAACCAACAAACAAGGTCTTCCAGGCTGTCCCAAGTGCACTTGCATACACTCTATTTCTTTTCCACAGTATTCTTTATTGATAAAAATGAGCAAGGGGGGGGCACTACTCATGGCATTCTGATGTTTTTAACTTTATATAATAAATTTCTTCTCAGTATATTTGGTTTTGTCATTGCTCTACAATTAAGGAACAAGTTCTCCCACACATGAAATGCACCATTTAATTTTCCTAATGATAAGAAGTCACCGAGAAGTTTGTCAAGGATCACCCAAAACTTAAGAAGCATCAGAGCTGACACAAATTTCATGTTTGCAAAGACAGCTGCAATCCTCTTGCACAAAGGTAGGAACAGGCTCTGTTTTTGTTCTTCTAGATCCTTATAGATCTAAATGTACACATTTGGCTTACTCCGTTTAACTCACGGCTTGAAAACTGCCAGTACACACTACCTGCCTTCTTCAGCCTGACAAGTTCTATTTCTGCAAAACACATTAACATGGATTAAAGCAACCTCTTGTGGGCAGAGATCCTGAGGGAGAGCTCTCCCTGGAGAGAAAGCATTTGTACTCGTGGACATCTGGCAGACATGGCAGCACCTCCTGCACAAGCTTTCCCTCTGGGGAAGGGTATGCAAAAGGACAGTGGAGCAAGTCTCCTCATGCTTGCCTCGCAACCGATGGAATTTCCAGAGAGGCCTATGATGGAGGTGGAAGGAAGTGCCAGTTTTCTGCAGACTTTATTTGTTTGAAGCTGAATGGCTGAAATAACCTATTTTTGTAATTGCTGCATTTTTCTGCTTAATCCATACAGAACTTAGCATATGCCATAGAGGATCAGAAGTCTTAAAAGTCTTCTGGAAAGACCAGCTAAGAATTGCAGAAGGCTACTGTGAAATGGCAACTGAGAATACCCACCTTACATAATGCACAGTGAAAGAAAGTGAAAAAGTGAAAGCACTGCTTGCTCCACAGGATAGTGGTTACAATGAAAAGATGCAGAAATCTTTTTTCTTCCTGAAACTCCAGATAGAGGAAGCAAGGTGGGCAAAACTAGCAGTACCCTATACCCTGCTCCTGCTGAATGCTAGCATGAGGCTGTGCATTCAAAGGCTGACATTCAAACCTAGTCAGTGCTACCATAAATTTGATAAAGTTAATTGAATATTTACAGAGCAAAAGATCTTTCTCTAAAAAAGTTGAGGAATTCAAAACTACTGCTACAGTCTGGTATTTGAAACTGTATCATGAAACAAGCAAAGGGCTTTGAACCAACACTTTAAAAACATCCACAGTATGTGACAAAAAAGACAGGCTAAAGCCTCCTTAAAACTACAAGAAACTGTGCCATAGCAGCTGCCTGAAACAAAATAGGAGAGAGGAATTAACACACCAGCTAAGGTCTTAGACTGCTGCAGCAGTGTCTGTAAAGCCTATGGCTCTGTTGTTCTAATGATGTAGGCTAAGACACAGGAGATAAGAAAAACCAAGACAGTGAAAGCCATAGTAAAACTGGGTCACTGTTAAACATTTTATGAAAAATAGAACCTACTTGAAGCAACTCTGAAAACCTCTTTGCTTTCCTCACGTGCTCAGCCAGAAAGTGGCACTGACTCCTCTTCTGTGCCCATGGGAAATAGCCCCAGTTCTGTGGCCTGAGCCAGCAACTCCATTTTTTCTTATAATTAACACTTAATGACTATCTTTTGGAGGAAGTGCCACAGGGTAAGGCTTAGTTACTGGACCAACAGACCTGTGAAGGAAAGCATGTGCCCAGCTACACGTTTGAGCAGGAGGTACAAGAGCTTTATAAAAGGTGTGCTTTGGTTATTTAAATCAGTCTCTGTGATAAGGTAAAAATGATGACATTTTTCAGAATAAATATTAGTGTAAATGAATAACTAGCTGAGCTGCTTTTAGTGTGAATAACAGCACCCCATAATGTCCTATAAGAGTTAACCCATTTTAATAATTCCAAACCAGCACACTGTGATGTGCTGTAAGAGCCAGTGAGCTAGTGAACCATGCCCCATAGTGCCTTTCTGACAGCACACGGAGGGGAAGGACCTGCAGGGGAAGTATCTCTAGCATCTGTCTGTGGGGTTACCGCAGGCACTGCTGTTGCTTCTGAGCAAAGGTGTCTTAGCTCTCTTTCAGGAGGAAAAGAAAGGGAACAAGATTCCTATCCAAAGGAGGAACTGGTGGAGCATGTCCGTAGGAAGCATGCAAGCACCTTTGCACATCTAATTAATGCACAGAAACTCATTGCAGCCAACAGTGATGGCTTCTGCCCATGCAACAGATTTGCTTACAAGAGCTGTGTGCTTCAGAGCAGTTTTGTTGAAGCTGTTGTGGCTGTGGGAGGTGTGCAGGGCCCTGGTGCCAGCAGCCCTGGTTGCTGCTGGGCATTGTGAGTGTTGAAGGAACCCAGGAGAGCTGTACCCAATTGTACCACACAGCACAACACGAGTGAGAGTGCAAGATGGCTAAAATGTAAAATTCGACCCTGTGTGGTCATGAAGTGTGCCCAATGGAAACAGCAAGAAAACACAACCAAACATAAGTGATGCTGACAGTGAAGTATCAAGACCATGCTAAACGTGTACAAGGCAGCACTACTTTCTCCATCCCACCAGCGGACAAACTTCACTGAGGCTTTGGGCATCTGGAGGTGGGCATCTAAGAACAATGGCTCAGCCACAGCTGGACCAGGTGCAGATTTTTCCTCTTACGGTCCTTGAGGTGTCCTTAACCAGGCCACGGCATCGGGACAACTCGATATTGATCTGCCTTTAGTGGAAAAGCGGAACGGGACTCCCCTCGGGCTCTGCCTGCCCCCTCAGGGCGCCGGGGCCGAACTTTCCTCTCACTCCGGGGAGGGAGACCCAGGCGCGGCTCTGCACTTCGCGAGGCAGGGCAGGGCAGGGCAGGGCAGGGCGGGGCGGGGCGGGGCGGGGCGGGGCGCAGCGGGCGGGCCCGCCCGCAGCGGGCGCTGCAACAGCCACGGGGTCGGATCCGCCCCTGCCGCCCCGCCCGGCGGGAGCGAGCGGCAGGCACGGTGTGCCCGCCGTTCTCTGCTCTGCCGGCCGGAGGAGAAGGGGCATCCGAGAAGAGGCGCGGAGAAAGAGCCCACCGGAGGAGGCTGCGCCATGGCCCCGTCTCGCCGCCGCCCCTGAGGAGGCGCGAGGGGCGGAAGGGCGGCGCGGTTGCCAAGGTAATGAGGCGAGGGTGGGCCAGGGCAGGTGGGGTGAGGACGTCTCCGGGTGGGCTGCGGTGCCGCGGTTCTGCCGTGCTGCCGGGCGTCCCGCTGGGAAGGACGGGGCCGTGCGGCGAGTAGAGCAGGGCTCGGGAGGGGTGTCTGTGCCCCGTGGGGAACTTGGGAAGCGCCGCTCTCGGGCAGCAGAGCTTCGTTCCCGATGGCTGCAGAGGGTCGCGTGGCGGAGCGCCCGGAGCCTTCGTTCCCGCGGCGCTACGGGCATCGCCTCTCAGCCGCGCAGTGTGAGGCATAGGCTGCAGGGCCAGCAGTAAGCTTCGGGTGTTCCCTGAGGGAACTGCGGATTCTATTCAGGGAAATGCAGGTTTCCCGCAGCAGCGGGGCATGTCCACAAGCTTCAGTTCTAGGCAAGCGTCCCATGTCCGCGTGGTACTTCCCTGGTATTGGAGCACACGGAGGCGCGCCATTGGTGGTGCTTACTCGCGGCTGATCGCGAGTACTTTCACTCCGCTGAGTTGTAAATCTGCTTAAATAGAGGTCAGACGTTGACTTGTGGTTGTGGACCTGGGGCGTGGGCTACGAGCACAGTATAAAGGCACTTGCTGTTCACAGATGTGTGTAAGAAACTGAAGAAACTGTTTAGATGCGGCCAATATTGACTTATTTTTAGATAAGTTGCTCCTTTTTCCAGCAACCTGACTGATAGAATGCTTAATGGCAAATGTTCCTGTTCCTTTCCTGCAAGTGTGGCTTCTGAATAGCCATTGTTTACTTTTCACGTTTTAAACTCAATTGGAGATTAGAAACAAGTGAAGGAGGAACATTTACTGGCTGCACGTCTCACAATGAGGTTTATCAGCAATAGATGTTTAGAGACTGCTGTTCAATCTCTTTGACCAAGTTTGCTGGCTTCCTCCTGCTGCCCAGCCCTTGCAAGGAGAGGCACAGTAAGAATCTGCATGCGGTGGTTGGTGCTGCCTGCCTTCGTTTCTTTCTGGTGGTGCTGGTGATGCAGGTACACCTGTTTTAGTCAAAACAACACTTGAGGACGAGAGCAAGAGGTGTGTCCTTTTCAGGCAGTGATTGCCTCCTTGCTAAGTGGTTTTAAGGTGTTCTGGTACCCGCTGCATTGTTCTGGTGGAGCCCCCGCGTATAACGCTGGTGAGCAGAGCACTGCTTGTTCCTGGGATAACTGCGTTGGTTAACATTAATGAAGCCAGGAGTGCCAGAGTCTGTCCCTGTGAGCAGCTGAAAGCAAGGAGAAGGGAGCCCTGTCCCAGCAGACTGCAGCAGACCAGCGGACGGCAAGGGAAGAAAAGAAGCTGTGCACGGAGTAGTAGGGTGAGCAAATAACTGCAGCCCCTTAATGCTGCTTGTTAGTCTGTGGGGAAACTCCTGAATATGCCGTGGCTTGTGCTTCCTAACGGAATGCAGGGCTGTTGCTGGGCGGCTTTGCTCTCCTGTAGCACTGTGAGCCTCCGGCTTTTCAAGAATGAGGGATGGTGAATTCAAAGGTTCTAGCTTGAAATACTTGATTTCTCAATCAACGCCTGCAGTTGTGAAGCGGTGGCAGGAGGAGGGCGAGGTGCCCCTCCTATGCCCAGCGCTACGGGAGAGCACTTCTGCCCTTACGAGCAGTTACAGCGCTCTGTGTGCTCACTGCCTGACGCTGAAGAAGCATTTCTGCAAACACACCTCGGCGCTGTAGAGGGCAGATTGTGTGTGCAGACAGGTCCACGTCACCGAGCAGCTCCGGGGTGCTTCAGAGGACAAACAATCCATCTAGCTCTCGGAACAGACACGCTCCTGGTTCCTCATGGGATTTTTCTCTGGCTGTTCATCGTTGCCTTAGTATGAGAATTTATACCACGCTGTTGTAAGTATAAAGAAAGCTTGGGTACCGTGGGATTATTATGCTTATTTGAAAAGGTATTTCTTTGCGTTAGTCTTTGAGCTGTTGTCAAGTAAGATGTGAGCTAGGTATTGGGTCTCTGTGCTGCTGCTGAAGATGCAGTAGTACTTTGAACCCTGAATGCTTGCTGCTGTCTGCATATTAGGAAAAAGCTGACTGGGGGAAGAGCTGTGCTGGCTGGGTGTGTTTCAGAAGTGTTGAGGTGTCTGCTGCTGCTGGTGGACCCATTCTGGGGGTTGCAGAAGCACCTGGACAAGTCAGGTGCTCTGTTCCTGTTAAGTCACACATCTGACTTCCTCAGGCTACGGAATTTCCTCTTTGCATCTTTGAGCACTTACAAAGAGTTAAACATTTGCATTTATATTCTGAACTAAGGTACTATGTTCCTAAATCTCTGACACTAAGTCTGCAGGTTTCTGCACTTATCCTTAATCTCTTTCTGTATAGTGAATGTGTTGTCATATATGGGGCTTCATGCTGGGACCATGAAGCAGCTTGGCAGTGAAGGGAAATTAGTACTTTATTTCTATTTTTTTTTTTTTTTTTTTTTTTCTGCCAGGAATCTTGGACAGAGTTGCAAATGCCATCCCAGTGGAAAGGAGTGTTCTGTCATCCACTGTGCTTACAGCAATTGGCATTGGTGGTGAGATTCGCAGGGTAGTTAAAAGATCCTTGGATTGATTAATACAGACCTACTGTTCTGTGGGGGTTGTGTGCTGAGCAAATGAAAACTAATGGCTGGAAAGCCAGGGTTTCTATGTTCAATTTATAGCTCTGTCTGCTGCTACATGAATGTGGGGAAGTCACTTAATTTCATTGTGATTTAGTTTATCATTTTGTAAATGAAAATAGTATTTGTTTCTGCCACAGATGAGCAACTGGTTATAGATCATCACTTCACTAGTGTAACTGCAGTCCAGTATAGACGCTTATTGGCTCAATTAAAGGAGCTGTCTTCACAGGAGCATTGTAGTGTAACGGCAGTACAGTAAAGCATATTAATATTTATAATGCACATAGCATATGTTGCTATTTACAGTAGTCCGGTTATGGCACTGTGGAGTTCAGGGTAGGCAAAGTGCTGCAATGGGATTTGTAGGCTATGCTGAACTGTGTGGGTGTGTGAACTGGAGCTGGCTAATTCAGGAGTGCCTCAGATGCCTTTTACATTGCAATTACTGAAATGATTTGGACTTAATTTGCATTTGTAAAGGCTGTAAGTTGCTGAGATAAACAGCTGGGCAGTGAAATCACAGTATATTGCATAATGTCCTTCAAGTACATGGAATGCAAGCAGAGCTGTTGCATGGTACCACATCTTCAAGAGCACCTGTAATTTTGGGTAGCAGATTTCCCATTTTATGTGATTGCAGGGAACTGCAATTTTCCATTCTCTTGAGAATGAACAACCAGCAAGAACTCTCAACACTTTGGGGTGTTTGAAATGAGATTGTACAGTCACTGATCAATGCTGGGATGAATTGGTTGTTACATCAACTTGCATTAGACTACTTGAAGGGAGTTTAATTTTAGCTAACTCCATTTGGCACAGAGCATTTATGTGGAGAGAATCTGAACTGCGTATCCAACAAGTTCTGGAGCCGAAGTTTTTTTTTTTTTTTTTTTTTTTTTTTTAGTGTTTGGTTTTCATGTCATTAGCTTGCACTTCTCATTGTTTTCTTTTTAAATAAATTCATTCTGCTGTTTTCAACTTATAAGATACAGTGTAAACTAGAAAATGCAGTCCATTCATCTCTCTTCCAAGAAGTAGCTTACTGCATTTGCAATATTTTTTTTCTGTGATGTGTGAAGTAGAAGGCACTTTGAGACAGTATAGTTGATGGGCCAGCTTCTTTGCATGCCTTAAATGATCTAAGGAAATTGTTTTTTTCAAAAAGGGATTCCAATCGGAGAAGGGTGTATTACTGGTATAGTTAGTCACCTCGTTTTCCCCAGGGGATGATTTTAGCAAAAATGTTGGCATTGTTGCAAAATAATAAAATGCAGCTTCAGCTTTTTCCTTTGCAGTTGCTCCTCATAGAATCACAGAATTGTAGGGGTTGGAAGGGACCTCCAGAGATCATCGAGTCCAACCCCCTTGCCAAAGCAGGTTCCCTACAGTAGGGAGGCATCCAGGCACATCTTGAACATCTCATAGACTGTATAAATATTGCAGTTGTTTGGGATCACTGATTCAGATGAAGTTCAAAGTTGGACTACATCTATCTCTTTGCATTTCTAAATTCATATACTGTTGACACTTATTTCAGTTAAGTATTCAGCATATATTTGCTGTTACATTCTCTGCAGCTATCCTTGGTAACAGCAAGTTGGCTCAGACCCTTTCCAAGAGTCTTTGTGCTCACAGCAGTGTTTTATTGGAAGGTAAAGTGATGATAGGTGGGTACTGCATTTCCTTCTGAATACTTTGGAGGGAAGATGGATATACCGTAGCCAATTTCTTCCTGATCCATTAAGATGGATCTTCCTGATCCATCAAAAACTTGGTACATAGGTGCCAATTTTAACAATTGATTTTGTAAAGGGAAGAGTTTGCCTTGTTAACAAACAATTCATGTGTCAGTATTCAGTACCACCCATCCGCGTTGTACTTTTCCCTATGGTTGTCTGGCTCTTCTTGTGTATCTGTTTATCAAATAAAATAAAGCTCTGAAAATGGAAAGTGTCTTTCTTTTAAGTCAGCAATACTTTCAGTGCAGTTTGGGTGGACAGATCTGAAAACAGGTAGTGTATATTTAGCATGTATGGATCTAACTAGGTGTCGGGTAATGTGTGACCTAGCCAGTGGCAGATGCTGAGAAAGTTAATTTATATTGACTTCTGTCCCTGGATTTTATATCCAGTTTTAGACAATATTTTCAGCATGCTAAATACCTAGAAAAATCTGCAGCTTTAGAAATATGTGGAATCCAAATGGGGCATGGCTGTCTGGGGAGAAGTGAGGAAAATAATCTTCTCCTGTGGTTTATCAATAAGCAGGGTGATTTTCTGACAGGTAAACAAGACAAGCCAACTGTGGCTAATCTGACACCTTGAACATGTGGTCCCTCTATTGAAGGACATACATAACTGAGAACAGCAAGTGATTGGAGAGGAGTATATACAGAAAATAGCTACTTGCGTTATGCTATGCAGTAGACTGAGTTTGAAAGTTCGGCCTGTCGGTATGTGGGAGGCCAAGTGGTTTGGAGTGCCTGCAGTGCATGTCTGCCTGGGGAGCTTTTTCTAGTCACCAGGAGGTATCTCTGTGACCTGGAGATACGATTGTATCATGTGTTCTTTTTCTTTTTTCTGGAAATTTTTAAAAAATGTGAGATAGTTTTGCAGCCCGCCACGACAGGGTTATGCATGAGGTGATTTGGGTTGCGGTATCAGAATGAGTGAAATTGCGGAATTTTATTTGGAAACTACTGGAGGGATGGGTAAGAAATACAGAGCCTCAAGTAGGGTCAATATGCACAATATCTGGCGTAGTGATAGGAGAGAGCTACATGCCCACCTCTGTGCCCAGATACTGTCTTGGGGCTCTCCAAAAGGAAAGCTGGGAGCAAGGCAGCAGCTAAGTAGTGCAGGTGGTCAGGAGCCTGGGGCTCGCTCCCTGCCCTAGTACTGTATGGAAATATAAATATACCCATAAGATGTTTTGTGGCAAGCTTTTTACAGGAAACAAGTAGTCGCATATGTGGAAGGAGACTGCACCTTTAGGAGATGCCAGAGCATTAGAAATTGGCAATCCTGGTCTCCGTCAGGATCCCATTTCTGAAAAAGGGAAGCTAAAGGGAGCAGTCTGGATCAGTGCCCTTCCTTCCTGCTCTGTCAAGTGTGCACAGGCTTTCTTTCTGCCTGTCATAGGGCTGGAGAAATGCTGAAACCCTGTGCCCTAGCTCAGAGCTCCCTGAGCTCTGCATCATGCAGGGGGGAATGAGGTCTTTTGGAATCTATGAATGTTCCTGGTATTGAACAAATTGTTTACTAATAAACAAAGAGGAAATTGGACCCAAAATCAAACATTAAGTGCAGTTGCTGGAAGTGTTTATACTTTGTTCCTTAAAAAAAGCAACCGAATGACTATTGTTGATGGTACTGCAGTGCTTGGCACTTGCAAAGAGGGGCAGAAAGTCTGTGGATGATCTTCCACTGGGAAACTATTTTCAGTGCAACCTTGTTCACCTACAGATGGATGCCCAAAACAGTCATTGAAGGGATTTTTGTGTTTTTTGAGAACTGGACTTCATGGATCAGGGGCAGATCCCTTGGCTGCCCTTCCAGTCAGGGTAGCAGAGCTCTGGGACCCAGAGGGGCACAAGGCCCTTCTGTCTGTCACCACTGGCTCTAGTCAGACCCAGGCTCCTGGGGCAGTGGTCATGCTCTGGGCTTGCAGGAGTCTAAGGAGCATTTGGACCGTGCT